GGCTGCTGTCGAAATCGTACGGCTCTGCAGGTACGGACCCCGATCCGGCTCTTGCTGTTTCACATCCCCGAGGCGCAGCTTGGGTGGGGCGCTTAATAATTCACCCTGCTATATATGGAGCTCTGAGTTACTTGGCGTTTAATTTGGCGCTCAGGGGGAAACCTCCAGCATCCTCCTGCACAGCATCCATCCATCAGCCGCTGCGCTGATGCTTACGGTTAACCTGCCCGTCCTCTCCCGGGCTGTGCATGCAGCCTTTAAAACTGCATGCAGGTTACCATATTGCTGATGAGGAGCCACTTATTGACATGAATATGAGGCTTGTCAGAAAGAATCTCCCCCACAGTGGTGCGTGATGCATGAAGGGAACTGGAGGGCTGTCATCTCTGCAGTGCAACAAAGCCTTTTGTCAGAGCCGGGCTACATCAGGCCTGTGGAGGGCTCCACCAGCCCAAATATAACCTGCAGGGAAAAGCCTTGGAATTGTATGAAAGCCCTTTTCTATAAGGCTGCGTGGAGCTGTGTGGGCCGGCTGTAAATGGGTCAGGACCGCATAATATTGGTGTCAGTGTTACGCGCGCACGCTGTGCTATAGCGCGTGGCAGTATAGTGAAGGTGACTTATAAGACAATGGAGTGTTATTTGTGACAGCTGCTGCAAATGTACCTACCAATCTGAGCTTTTATAAATCAGTTAATATATATATAGAGAGAAATATTCTAGAAAAAAAAACCCCATAGGCCTACTTGTACCTGTCAGCATTGTAGCTTAATGTACCTTTGGAGTGGCTGAAATACAGCATGCACCAGTAACACCTGCACAATCTAATGTAATCCAGTGTAATACTGTTGCAACAAATTTAACACATTTATAAGGCTTAAAATGTTTATATAAGGTTTGTTGACACTGTCTGAGATGAGAGATATTTATCTTTTATCTTTAAAATTTAAAAATATCTAAAAATATAAACTATAAATAGCTAAAATGACCAAAATCACTTCCCAGAGCACACATTTAAGTCTTCAATTGCTAATTTTGTTGTTGACCAGCACTCGAAAACTAAATTTACAATTATATAAAGCAGTAAACTCTTAAAATATGAGATGCTGGAAATAGACTATTTGGCCATTTTGTTCAATAATTGACCTAATTGATTAATTAG